ACGAGAGCTGTTCGCGCATTAGCTCCGCCCACTGCTGAGAAACCGGCAGTGTTACCAGATTGGGCGGTTTTAAATTTGATTGTGCTGGTAAAAATTGGCTTGGGCGGGTGAACAAAATTTGGGCTGGTTTGGGGTCAGTTTGGCGGTTTTCAAACATATAAATTGCATAGGCTAATTGTTTAACAAAACAAGCCCAAGTATGTATACTGCATCCAATCAGTCATCATAACGTTACTACACAAACACACACGCACAGCAGAGGCGCTGGTGCTGATGTAAACGTCGACAGCCGCACTTATCACGGGGGCTCAGCAGACAGACGTTATGATTCAAGGGTGACAAGTTAATCCTTGAAAACTGCTAAACTTGATTAGTTTTGACTGTGCAAAGTTCTGTATTATGTTCTACAATAGGAACTTAACAAGAAGCTTCCTCTAGTTCTGTGCTTATCTTATTTATAATTTATATTAGCCTATTTTGTCGTCAATATTTTGTTTTAAGGAGTTAAAATGGCCCTTATCAACCTTGATTTACATATTCTATAACATTATTTTGACAGTTAAAGTTTTGGGCGGTTTTTGGGCGGGGTTTTGTGAGCTTTTGGGCTGGAAATCGTCCATCCAATCTGGCAACACTGGCTCTGAGGGCCGGCATCAGGTGAGAAAGCTAGTGAAACGTTGCACGCGCAAAAGAGAAGGTCTGCACAAATCCAAAAACTTATTTTAAATGCAAAATTTATTTTCATGCGCTCTAAATACTTTCTTCTTTGTGAGACAAACATTTTCTCCACAAAACTCAGTTGGCGTGCGTGCAAAATACACTTTTGCAGAATTGTGGCAGAGATGTAATCCCATAACAGTCAGGCTGGGAAACAAGAAGAGCGGTTTATCTGAGGTTGATTTAAATTTAAAATTATTTATTTTTTATTAACTTAATACATAAAACATTTTGTTTCATTTTTGTATTGAAATGTACACATGTAAAAGAATATAAATGAATTAGATTTTTATTTTTTTTGTACATTTTTCAATAGGCCTATATAATATAAAATAAGATAAAAATATATATATATTGGATGACAGTGTTCGTAAGCGTTGTTTCTAATAACAGAAGAGGTGCTTGTCTTACTGAGATGACCATGACACACCGCAGTCTGATCTTTGGAGTGTTATTTCCATTTCTGTTCAGTCGATAAGCAGTGACCACACCATCCGTCCAGATGGCATCAGAATCCGTGAAGGTGGTCGTCAGATGTCGACTCCTGAACGACAGAGAGAAGGCGATGAACTGTAAGATGGTGATCTCGATTGACAGCAGTCATTGTCAGTGTTTTATTGAGAAACCTGGAGCCACGGAAGAGCCGCCCAAACAATTCACATTTGATGGGACTTATTATATGAATGAACCATTCCACTTAGCAGATCTACAACGAGATCGCATATCCTCTGGTGGAGGTAATATTGATTTATGTCTGTGGGTGATTGGTGTGACAGCTAGAGCCTCAATAAGGGGCCCCTAACTTTCCAGTGTGCATGCCCATAGATATGGTTATCTGATCCCTGTTGTCTCTTATCTGAAACAGAACACCATAGAATTTAAATCAGTCACAGAAGTAACAGCCCTTCCTTTTATTGATTATTTACTAGATGCCTGTAAGTTGGGCCCTTTAGACTCTAAATATTAAGCTTTGAGCGCCTGATAGTCTATCTATCTATCTATCTATCTATCTATATGTCTGTCTCTGTCTAGCTGTCTATCTCTCTGTTTGGCTGTCTGTCTTTATTTTTGCATTATGCAATAATCAAATATTATACAAATATTTTGTAAACGGTGTAACTGAGGGCTACAATGGGACAATTTTCACTTATGGACAAACAGGAAGTGGAGATCTTTTGGGAAAAGAGACCAAACAGAAAATGGAAGTACGTTCTCACTAATCACACAGCTCTTTGTACATTTGAGTACATGTACTGAATGTCTCAATGCTGTGTGTGTGTGTTTAAGCTGAAGGAGCATCCCGAGTGTGGTGTGTATGTACGGGATCTGTCCATGCATACGGTGCACAGCGTTGGGGAATGTGAGCGGATCATGGATCAGGGCTGGAGGAATCGCTCTGTGGGATACACACTCATGAACAAAGATTCATCTCGCTCACACTCTATATTCACCATTCACCTGGAGATCTGCAACACAGGTTGGTGTCTGAATCACACATATTAACTAAGTCCTACATGCATGAATGAGCTTAGATGCTGCTGGTGAAGAACATTTGCGTGCTGGGAAGCTCAAACTCGTGGACCTTGCAGGTAGTGAACGTCAGTCGAAAACTGGTACTACTGGAGATCGCCTTCAAGAAGCCACCAAGATCAACTTGTCCCATTCAGTCCTTGGCAATGTTATATCTGCATTGGTGGACGGTCGTTCCAAGCACATCCCGTACCGTGATTCCAAGCTTACTCGTTTGCTTCAGGACTCACTGGGTGGAAAATTATGACAATTAAAACAATTATAAAGAGAGCATCAGTACTCTACGCTACGTCAACCGCGCCAAGAGCATCCAAAACCGTCCACGCATCAATGAGGACCCGAAAGACGCCGTCCTGCGTGAGTATCAGGAAGAAATCAAGAAGTTGTGAGCGTTAATCTCCGGGCAGCTGGGATCTGCCAACCTCAGCTGTAAGAAACACAAAAATTGTTTAAATTTGAATGTTTGAATAGCGCAATGTTGAATTTTTTTTGTCTGTTATCAGGACTTTTGGCCGGTCAGAAGTCAGGAGATTCTCCCACTGTTCTGTCGCGACCCCAGAGCAACACATCAGAGAGTGAGGCAGAGAAACACAGGATAAAAGAGGTGTGTACAGATTTAAAGTCAGTGGAAGACTATTAAATGTGTGTCCACATATGGATGAGATCTTCACATCAAAAGATGAAGTATTTTTGAGGAAACTTTCTGTTTGAATGTGTTGATTGGTTTTAATCTTGTGAAACCAGATCTCATAGTACAGTAGGCCAATACATTGGCTTTTCAATTATTGCAAAAAATCAGCCCAGACGTTGGCTGAAAGTCTGATTCATATGGCACACAAAATTAGAAACGCTTCAGGAGTTTTGAAGTCGTCATAGGATTGGTTGAATTATACAGGATTTCTGAGAGACGTGTGTGTCGCGTTCTTTAATGTTCCGCCTGGAAACAAAGATGGCGTGACGCCAAACCCCCTCATGGAAGAAGAAAGCTGTCGTGTTTACAACTGTGACAATGAGCGCTTATCAGGATCAACTAAATGCTGGATTTTTAAAAGTATGTGAAATATTTAAAGTTCGCGGCATAGACTCTTTAAAATACGTCCAAGAAATTAGCACACCAATCTGTTATTGTGGCGACATTTCCACACCCCTGAACATGACGCGGCACAAAGCGAAACATGATTGGTTGTTTTACCTGTCAGTCATATGACCTCTTGGGCGGTCCTTGGCCATTCAAAGCGGCTAAGGTTCCCAGACCTTCTGCCATCAGTCTGAACGGTCTGGCTACACAAGACTAAATAATCACTAACTCATCCAGTTTGGCACTGTTTTTGTTTTCTTTCCTGGAGCTCAAAATATGGAGTATTTGGTTTTAGTAATGCCAAGTTCATGGGTTCAGTTCCCAGGGAAAGCAAGAACTGATAAAAGTGTATCTTGAATGCAGAGTAAATCCCTTTGGATGAACGCATCTTGCAAATTCATAAATGTAAATGTACATTTAAGAATATGAGATGAAACTGTCGAGGCTACAGGCCGAGTACGATGCTGGACAAGAGTCCAAAGTCAAACTCCAGGAAGACATTGCATCCTTGAGAACATCATACGTGACCAGACTCTCTTCTCTGGAGAGGCCCAGAGCTAGTCGAACACATGCCACTGGTAATGTTGAAACTACAGTTTCCTTTACATCTAACTGTATATCTTTTTAATCTGGTTGAATCTTCTTGCTATCTCTCCTTAATCAGGTGACCCTCATGTGGACCAACATAAAGAAGACCCCATCACTGCACATGTGACTTCACAGGAGCAGGCGAATGTTGACTACACTGTACCCGAGGTGCTTTGATTTCACCTAAAACTGGGTTTTTAATGGATCTCACAAATCTAAATTAACCTTTTTTTTGTGTGGGAGAATCCGTCTTGTGTCAAAGGAGCTCACAGTGAAGAAAGTTTGGTTTTAGATGTGGTTGTGGTTGCCACACCCAGTCAACTGGACCAGAAGCATGTTTTAGAGAGGTGAAACTTCAAGAATTACAGCTTAAAAATGAATGTGTAACTGCATTAGTTTAACAAAACATAGAGACTATTCCATCTGCAGACAAGTGGTACTAAATCTTTTCTCAGAACTAACTTCAATCGTTGTAATGACTGAATGTGCTTTCTTTCTTTAAAGTAAATGCCAATTGATTGCATGTTTTGTTTGGGATGTAATGCAGTGAAATAGACTTCAAAGAGAAGCAGACTTATTTATTGAGATGGTAGAATTCAGGTTAATTGGGACTTCCCAGTCATCTCAATGGCAAAATGTGTCCCAGTTTACCTGAATTCACCTTTATAGCTATAGAGATGACATCGATAAACAGAGGATAAATATGGAGGTGATGTACTTAAAAGCGGTCTCTACTATATTTTGTTGGCTGAAAGGCTGCAGCAGCTGGAGCAAGAGTTTGTGGGTGGAGAGCAGGTGAGGAACGAGGAGCTGAAGCAGAGACACAGACAGAGGAAGACTATGGCTGACCAGAGGAAGAAGCAGCTAATCGAAGCTCTGAGCCAAAGCAGTGAGGACAGTGACAGCGTGCTGCTGAATGTATACGATTCCATTCAGGAGGAAGTTCATGCCAAGAGCAGACACCTGGAGAATACACAGAAGAAGGTGAGAGCTTTCAGTATTTGCATAGTATTTAGTATTCACTCAACATTCGACTGTTACCTAACATGTCTCCATTCAAAAATTATGTCACATGAAAGTTGTGGAAACAAATCTGCTGTTCTTGGTACAGCAATTACATCATAAATCAAAATAATTTATGATATACACAGAGCCGATCCTCCCTATACGCAAAATACGCAAGCTGCGTAGGGCCCCCGAAACACCAGGGGGCCCCCTTACTCTCAAAGATGATTTAATTTTAGTTTCTTTTTTTAATTTGGCCAGCGTTTATGAAAACATGAATGATCATTTATTTTAATGCGGTCCGCTGTTGCCCTTTCTACGTAAAAATCAGTCAAATCATGTAATGTGAATGTCGTACAGTCTTGCTCGAAACGAGTTGAAAGCGTACCGAGCCACGGAAGAGACACTGTTTCTCAAGCGCTTTCCGCGAGTGTGATTCGAGACGGAGTGAAACACGGACAAATTAGTTTCATTCATTCATTCATAACCACTCATACCCCACTCCACCGCCGACACAGTTTTGCGCAGGGCCCCCAGAAGTCTAAGATCGGCACTGGATATACAATTCATAGATACTAATCATGGAAGGATTGCCTTTCGGTAAGATGACAGGAACGAGTGGTTCCATCATAAGCCTGTATAAAATCTCAAAGACAACATACACAATGACCTGAAGGATATGTGTGTTCATTCAAAGAAAGGTTTTCCTATGGATTAATTAGAAGAGTCCATTTCTACTGTGCACTGTGTCTTTCCTATGGAAATTGTAGTGAGAGGGGTAATTCTCAACATGCCATTAGGTCGTAAATGTATCTGGTCTAGCAAAGGTGTCGTGGTTGCCATGGGGACCAGGGGGGGCCTGGTGTCGTTGCAGACATCCTGGCACCCAGTTTATTGGGTGAGGGGACTGTGACGATTTGTTAATCTAATGAATAACTGATTTGTTAAATCAATGAAAAATTGTGTGTTTGATTGGTCCAGATGCTACACACGCCCCCACATATCTACATCACTATGTGGGAAGATTTGCATAACACCGCCCAAATGTTCACGCAAAGAAAGAAGGCGTAACTTTTATTCTCACTGTAGTATTGTTGACGCTGCAGCCATGTCGTGAAGACGCTGTGTGCTTCGTTGTGAAAGCGAAACTACTTTGTTGGGCATAGAGGAGAAACAATAATGTACAGTATGTGGAAAATAATGTGTTTTTTTTTACTTTAAACTGCATAAACACATTTCATTACACCAAATACACAAAATAATGTTCTTTTTAGCAGCATCATATGACCCCTTTAACACCATTCAAACAGGAGTTATGACACTTAGTTATACACAGATACACAACAAGTATCCCAATACCAGATTCATATGCCACATTCAGTAATAGGATTTTAAACACTTGAAATTGCTAGCTGAGGGTCAAACCTGGATTAAAGCGATCCTGTGTTAACTTAAGTATTTGCTTATTCATGTTGTGCATGTATATGCATATTTATTTAAAGTCTTTTCATTACTCCAGTTAATTTTAGTTAAATTTACCTTCACCATTTGACATTGTATAATGTTTTACTGAAACTAAACAAAGTGTGAAGTTTATGTAACAAGTACATTCAAGTATTGTCAAGTAAGAATCAAGTACAAGTACATTCAAAATATTCAAGTGCATGAATATTTAATGAAGTGATCATTCTTTATTTTATGATTGGTTAACATTCTAGCGCTAATGCAGTGCAATTTGGTGTTAGCACTGTAAATGCTCTAATCATAAACTAGGGTTAAAAGTGGTCTTGTCCCACTTTAAAAACTACAAAATAACTTTGAAATGTTCTTAACCCAGGGTTATTGGTAACCCAGGGACTGATTTAATTAAAACCATTACATATTCATATTCACCTGTTTCTCCCATGCAGCTGCTGTATGTTTATAAATGATGCTAATTCTAATCATTTTTCTCACAGTGAATTATTCTGGTTCAATCGGAAATGGTCCAATCCACCAGACTTCCGGTGCGTCCAGTTTGTCTCCTCTAAATGTGGAATCTCTCCTCCCACGCCCCCCTTCCGTTTGGAGTCCCACCTGCACCCTGCAAAGTAAAACGCAAGAAGAGCAAGACGCTCATCCCAACTGAGGACAACTGACAGGACACGGCTTTACAAATCCCTTGTATGAAAGCCTAGAACTTATATCTTTTTAAGCTGCTTTTATCTGTTTTTAATTCATTTGTTGGTATATAAAGCCATATTTTTGTTGTATTAGTGATTAATGACAAACAGGGTGATTTTGTGACCTAACCACTTTCAATTCTGAATGTCACATAACGTGGCATGTAAGCGCTGTGTAAAACATGGGAATTTTAACTAATACTACCTGAAGTAACCGAAATAATGCTACCTAATGTGCTGCACTGTTTTTTATTTTGCACTGAGAGATTTCAGCACAGAAAACATACTTTTTGTGGTCTTTTAATGTCTGTTGCTGCTGTCTGTCATTAAATATTTTTGTCCTGAAAAGCTGGTCTAATTTCATTGTCTAATGAAAGTGTCTAATAATTGGGGATGTGGCTGATCAAATTCAACATAGGGACCATGTTAAACAAAGTACACTTTCATGTGAGTGTGCATTTGTTCCTATGAGCCAGCATTAACATATCACATTAGCCATATAAAATAGGTTGCAAATGTTGTTCAGTGTTGTTTAAATTCTGTCTTTGATTTGCAAAATCAAATGTGTCCTTTTAGTGCACATTTTGATGATTTCACCTCATGCAGCCAGACTCAAAACAATAAGGTGTGATAAATGTAAGTCCTAGCTTTGTACAATGCATATGATATGTAAAAAATATATGTAAAATACCCATTCACTCCAACATTAAGCAACTGAATGCTAGTTTTGTGTATTTCTGCGACTTTGAAGCCCCAGAGAAGTAAGCCAGTGGAATTCACTGTAGTAAATATATGTGTTGTAATTACAGCATCGTTACTGCCGTAAAGCAATCCGCCCTTATCGCGGAATGCATTTGTTTAAATAGATGTAACCTTGATTAAAAACCCAATAGTTATAGTGACCTTTGGCCAGCAGACAGTAATCACTGTAAGCAAAAACCACTCAGTAAAAAAACACTATCACGCTGAAGCCAAGCTGAGTATCATTTGATTCATTAAAAACATTATAGTTTCAAAGTTCACAATATATAAAACAATGCATTTAACAGCAGCGCCTCACCTGATATCTTTTTTCACATGTGTTTTATTAATCTAATCACATTGGGATTGAACCAGTTATATTTTTCACAATGTTTTGCTTTCAAACATGTAGTTAAATAGTTGGTTAATCAAAGCACAGTGTTTGGACTTGGATACAGTTTAAGCATAATATCCTGCTATCTGATCATACAGCACAGCAACCAGTCAAACCTGAAACCAAGTAAGACATATCATGCTGAAATTATTGCTTTATTTGTGTGTTCTGTGGTTAAAAATTACCGTAATTTATGGCTGCTTTCCATGTGAAGTCCATACAAACAGAAGGAACCATTCTCAGTGTAAGTCATGAACTAGGTCAAATTCTGAGATAAAGAACTTTAATGACAGATGAATCTGAGAGGCCAGGTAACATGAACACCAGTCTGTTGGTTGCAACCCAAGATAATGTGCTAATCCACTGAAGTGCTGTGTCAGATCTCACTGACCGGCGTGTAAAATGAGGAGTTTGACTGATAGCTGATCTTTGGGAGCCTGGGTTCCTCAGGTCCAACAGTCTCTGGTGGAGCAGACATACTCCAATGTATTAAAAAAAGGAACAGGAAAAAAACAGGAAGTGATTTTCTGAAGCAACTGATTAGCAAAACAGGCATAATTCATAAAGACAGATTAGGAGAAGGCTTCCAATGGCAAGATCAAAGAGTAATTTAAGGCTAATTGCTAATCTACTTAGATGTAGTTCGAAATCAAAAAGTATCGAAAGATACTTCGGTTCACCTGGAAAAGTAAACATACAGTATCATCTTAATCTTCAGTGCTAAATTAGGCAAAGGCATCCAGGTGTTATAGTCAATTATTTAGATTCAGTAATTAATCAACTAAAAGTAAATTGCAACACTGTGCAATTGAAGTGAACTGCAATTTCTTTGCAACTAGTGCTATCAAACAGAACTGAAAAATAATGAGCATTGATCCATCAAATGCCCGAAACTCATGTCATTGGTTGAGCTAATGTCGGTCAGGATGTTTTTACAGTTTTCAGAAGAATCAGCCTACCAGTGGCTTTTAACATTATAAAATTGCATACTTTTATTATTCGGTTGTTAAGTCTGACGTCATGTGTCACAGTTTCTGGGTCCAAACGCTCCTTCAGATGCCAAATGCAAACAACAAAATCTCCACACAATCTTAGCAGGCTAGAGAGTGATTCATGTTTTAAAAATTGTTAAAATACTGGTGTCCGGGATACCATGAGGCCAGAGGTTGTAGCATACACTGTGAGAAAAAAAATAGTGCTCGTATTGCAGGAAATCGTATTCTTACTTAAATGGAGAGGAGGTTTGGACCCGGAAACAGTATTTGACGCATCATGACTTGCAGAGAACATACAGTCAGCAAATTTCAGTTTTTCAGCAATCCTAGTTTTCGTAATGCCTCTCTCCGATCTCTTCCAATGCTGGGAACCGGCACGTTGACGCCTTTGGAACGAGATGATGCATGCAATTCCGTTTTTGTGGATACCGATTCATTAGAATCCATTTGAGTGTCTGCAAAGTGGTTTTTGGGTCCTACTGTAGAAGAACCTGATTGGTGGTTCTGAGAAATTGCATTCAAGACTGTGATGTTAGAACCTGACAGTACAATCCCAGTGTGTTCCAGTGTGGCAGATGTCCCGGTTGAAGTCATATCGGCATTTTGCGGAGGAGATGAAGCTGTAGAAAGGTCACACCTTTGGTGGAGAGTGCTGCAACTTTGTACTGGCTGGTTTATTTGTTCTCCAGGTCTTGCAGGAACTCTTGGAGCAAGACGTTCACTTATGGTCTGGTTTTGCTCTTTGTTTGCTGGGGACTGTGAATGCTTTAGTTGTTGACAGATTGGGTTCTTTGCATCCTTAAGGAGACCCAGCTTGCAAAGAGCCTCTACTCTTACTTTCTCTGGGTTCATTAATTTATCTACAGACAATACCCCTGGGTAAGGGATGGTTGAGTTGATCTTGGAGTTGGAGTCTCCTTCCTGGTTCATTGGGACTTTGTGTGGGGTTTTCATTTTAGGTTTAGGGGCCACAGGTGGAGGAGTGGGCTTGGAGTTCCTACTTGTCATGGCCTGTGAGTTCTGGGTATGAGTTTGGGATGTAGAGATGCTTCCCTCGTGATCTTTATTTGTAGAAACCTGCTGTTCTTCGGTTTTGGCTTCAGTTGCATTGGTTCTCCGCATTGAAGCACTCTTGCGCAGATGGACCAGTGCTTCATACGAGAGTGGTCCTCTACGTGCCACGTTCTCTGGCTGATGATTATTCTGTTGTTCTTCCGCTGTATCTTTACTGCCTTTGATTTTATATGGAGGTGGTATCACTACCACACTGGCCTCTGAGGGAACTCGTAGAACTTCTTCTTGGAGCTGGTTACTTTCACAAGCCACTTTGGGTGCGGTCTTTTTCTGGGATGCAGCTAATTCAGGTTTGGTTTGGATACGCGAGTTATGGTTTGCAAGGACAAATGGAGTAGGAACCATATAATTCAGAATTTCATTTTGCACCAAGCTGCTATATGACAATGGACCTTCAAATTGGCTTTTGGGCACATCTACAAACAATAAAAGAATATTTTATTTCATTATCAGCAATAGTTAAGAGTTATAAATACTAAAGGAGCATCAACACACCTTGAGGGAGCTTGTTGAGTCCTGTCGACGAGGAAAGGTGGGCTGCTTTGTTAGCTACATTTCCCCGAGCTGGCAGCTGATCAGACTCGTCATTGGATAGGCCACTATCATCCTCTGTATCCAGTGACTGAATGGTCTCCTCTAGGTACATGAGACAAGCCCTCTCCTCAGCAGAGAGATACTCCATACTTTCATCACTCTGAAACATAAATTGTTCGCATTTGTGGACCAGCTTTAATGTGTGCTCATTACAGGGATAGTTCGCTCAAAAATGAAAATCATCTACTCACCCTTATTTTGTTCAAAACCGGAATGACTTACACTCTCAGGAAAAAAAAGGTACAAAAGTTGTCACTGGGGCGGTACCTTTCAAAAGGTACAAATATGTACCAATATATGTACCAGATACTAATATGTACCTTTAAAGTACCAATATGCACACTTTAGGGGTAAATAAGGTACAAAGGTGAACCTTTTGAAAATGTACCGCCCGAGTGACAGATTTTGTACTGTAACTTTTTTTCTGCCTTCTTCAGAACACAAACGAAGATATTTTGAAGAATGTTTCTGTCCATATGAAGTCAATGGGGTCCAAAACAACCCTTCATATCTCAAAATATCTTCTTTTGTGTTCCAAAGAAGAAAAAAAAGTCATACCGGTCTGGAACGACATGAAGTAAATGATGACAGAATTAAAATTTTTGGGTGAACTAAACTCTTTAATATTTTTTATCAACATTTCCTAGACACACACACAATACATCAAAACAACTGAAGATGTAGATTTAAATGTATTTGATAACATTATGTACAGTATGTCTTCATAAAAAAGTATATCTTACAAAGCATGAGTTGAAGCTGACCACACTGTCACAGCTGCCATTACTGTCAATCTCGCCCATTGTGTCGAGGCCATTGCCATCTTGCCACATGTCACTTATCGGCATTTGCAAATTATGGAAACCTCCACCCTGATATGAATTCAAAGTTCTTTAACAGTGTTGATGAAACTGCATTTCCCCTAAAAGTAGAATAAAAAATGCTAATGAAGTGTCTTGATATTTGCAAGCATTGGTAGTAATAATAGTGGAAATTGTAGATCAATTAAATACAATCTTATACCAAAAAAACCACATAAGAGCCAGCAATTATATTAGTATTTTTGTGAACGTTATAATGTTCAGATCATGTGAATGAGATTACAAGCAGGTGTTACACTGAGCTGGATCAAGTCCGGCATGATTGGAAGATAGTGAATCAGCTGTTTAAAGATAAACCAAGCTTTGTCCTCCAATTCAGAGTTTAATTGTTTAATATATTGTGCTTCAGAAGTGTTTCATTTATTCCAGCTTCCACTTACACCAAAGATCAGTAAGAACAATGCCAATTCACTTTGTTTTATTAGTTGTCACATAAAAGGCTCTCAGTTGTAAATTTGAATATGACGTGAATGATGATAACGCTTTTTTCTTTCTTTCAGTGATGGATTGTATTGTGTGATAATGCAAATGTAACAGCAAACAGGTTTTCTTTGTGGAGAGATGAATGGGCCAGTTGCAGTCGGATAGAAAATAAAACAATCATCAGTACAGTATGACATTTGTTTTCAAATTATCATTATATTTTAAAAGTTGAACTGTAATATCGAACAGTAATCAGTAAACCATAACAATGACTGTAAAAAACAATGTCCATTTCCACAGACATAATTAACCCACTGGCCTTTTTTATATATATAATCTATAACCTTAATAACATACTAATCAAATACTTGATTCTTTTTGTAATTGCAACACCGACTTTGAAATATCATAATGTCTTTTATGCTGTTCTAGAGAAATCATACCCATCTATAATCATAAAAACACTGAAATTACTTTATTATACATGTATGGCCTGTATTACACAAGAAAGCACACTTATCTATGTTATCTACTCTAAGGGTGTGTGAAACTATCTGTGTCAGACTACACTGGAAATTAATTCACAGTGTTTAACACCTGGGTAAGTAAGACTAATATAGTAAATAATATTGCTGAACAATCTAAAAAAAATGAGAGCGTGTATGTTAATTAAAATCTGATTTCAATTGATACATTTCAGCACATTATTTACAATAGCATAATTAATTTACTATTCATCTCTGCTTTAAATTCTAGAATTATCTGCCAGCCTTTTAATTGAAATCTTAAGAATACTCATATGCAGAAATAAACTAATGAAGCATGCCTTAATAAAAGTTTACCTTTAGTGCAGAAACGAGATGGCAGCCCAGCAGGTTCACGTGCTTCTTACAGTGTCAGTGCTGTGAGGTACAGTGAGGTGTCAGTACTGTACATAAAGAAATCTTCGACCAATCATTTTCGTTTCTTTCCTGCAGCAGCCAATCAGAGAACAGACCGGTGAGTGTAGAGCAAAAAAAAAAAAAACGAACGTTCGTATCAAAATAGTCGCTTAGTGACTGGAAAAGACATTATGAAAGATGCGTAAGTACACACTTAACTACACACAGTACTTCTGTGCACACGCCTGGAATGACAAACACACGATGACAGAAAGTGTCGAGAGAGAGGATCACCGGCAAATCCTGTTTAATCGCGTTATGAAGGGTTTCTTAAAATAACATTAGTTTAATCCCCGTCAACTGGAACTGATTTGATCTGTTTAACTGACTGAGATTCATTATGTTTTCACACCACATACAAGCGATCAGTTTTATCATCTATTTCTCAAAACTAACTAGTTTTTATGGTGCTACTAGTCGTAACTAGTAACTATTCGATCGGTTTTAACATTTATTTCTTAAACCTATCTAGTTTTTTATGGCACTATGCTCATGCTACTAGTAACTATTCATTAGTTCTTATTCCGATCTGATAGTATATATTAAATTACTCACCATTGTTTAGTCAACACCATTTAGAAACTAAGAAATACTATCTAGTAAATGAAATAAAGGATTAACTATAGATTATATATTAGTAATTCTAAAACAAGTACTGGTAACATAAAATAGATACTAGTTAAAGAAATAAATGCTGAAAGGCATATGCAAACAAGTCCGCATTGGGTTTCCTGTTTCAATAGCAATTGTGGAACAATTTGCTTGGGAAAGTTTAATACTGTCACTAACACTAACTAATAATTCAATCTTGGCAGTAGTTAGTTAACACTAGTAACTAACTACTAATAACATTTAGTTAAAAACTAATTAGTTAGACAAAATAAATAATAAATAAATCACACAAGGATATTTATGTATATATCAATTCAAGTTTATTTATCATTACCCAGTATAACCAGTGATTTTGTAGCAATGAGTGCTGTACATGCAGTTTCTCACTCAAAGTTACCTTAGTGTAGATAAAACACTGATCACGGCCATTTAGAAAAGTCACTGCAAAATAAAAATAAAAGTCCTTTGCACTTACAAATGGCACCATTTCTTCAAAATAAAAAGGCTGCAAACAAGTAAACAACAGTGTGGATATTACCTGACTGAAAAATACTGAGAATGTACATCATCATCAGGCCTTACAAGATGTTTTCTCTCTAAAGTTCATCCACACTCTAATAATATGATACTTTGCTACACTTAACCTCAGATATCGGCCCTGTATGCAGGAAAAAGTTCAGTATGACACATTTCATCACTTAAAATGTCAAATGAAAGTCACTACAATCACTCTTCCTAACAATATGTCATGGTCACTTGAGAGAGAATAAACACATTTTGCATAAAACAATCTTGTGTGGTCATTTGCAGAAATTACACAAGTGCCCTTCAAAGAAAAACAAAATCTAGATTCACAAAATAGTTCAGTGAGATTCTACTATCAGCACCATTGTGGTCCACTTCAACTTAAAATCCACGCTTTCTTGCTAACTAGCTTACTCAAAATGTGTAAAAACTGCATTGAGTAGAGTATTCAGAGTCGACATTAATCTATGTGACTATTTCAAGTAACAGGTACAATGGAGCCAGTGAACTTAAGACTTCATGTAGCGCCATCGATTGTTCAGAAACTGTGCGTATGACCTTAAAAAGACAGATCATATAATAAATACAGTAATGCCATGATTAAATTAGAGTTAATGAAAGGCATGTTTTTAGCTGTGCTTGACCCATACAATGTATTTTTGGCTATTGCTACAAATATACCCCAGCGACTTAAAGGGATAGTTCGCTCAAAAATGAAAATTCTGTCATCATCTTCTCACCCTTATTTTGTTCAAAACCGGAATGACTTACACTCTCAGGAAAAAAAAGGTACAAAAGTTGTCACTGGGGCGGTACCTTTCAAAAGGTACAAATATGTACCAATATATGTACCAGATACTAATATGTACCTTTAAAGTACCAATATGCACACTTTAGGGGTAAATAAGGTACAAAGGTGAACCTTTTGAAAATGTACCGCCCGAGTGACAGATTTTGTACTGTAACTTTTTTTCTGCCTTCTTCAGAACACAAACGAAGATATTTTGAAGAATGTTTCTGTCCATATGAAGTCAATGGGGTCCAAAACAACCCTTCATATCTCAAAATATCTTCTTTTGTGTTCCAAAGAAGAAAAAAAAGTCATACAGGTCTGGAACGACATGAAGTAAATGATGACAGAATTAAATTTTTGGGGAACTAAACTCTTTAATATTTTTTATCAACATTTCCTAGACACACACACAATACATCAAAACAACTGAGTAGATTTAATTAAATGTATTTGATAACATTATGTACAGTATGTCTTCATAAAAAAGTATATCTTACAAAGCATGAGTTGAAGCTGACCACACTGTCACAGCTGCCATTACTGTCAATCTCGCCCATTGTGTCGAGGCCATTGCCATCTTGCCACATGTCACTTATCGGCATTTGCAAATTATGGAAACCTCCACCCTGATATGAATTCAAAGTTCTTTAACAGTGTTGATGAAACTGCATTTCCCCTAAAAGTAGAATAAAAAATGCTAATGAAGTGTCTTGATATTTGCAAGCATTGGTAGTAATAATAGTGGAAATTGTAGATCAATTAAATACAATCTTATACCAAAAAAACCACATAAGAGCCAGCAATTATATTAGTATTTTTGTGAACGTTATAATGTTCAGATCATGTGAATGAGATTACAAGCAGGTGTTACTGACCCATACAATGTATTTTTGGCTATTGCTACAAATATACCCCAGCGACTTAAAGGGATAGTTCGCTCAAAAATGAAAATTCTGTCATCATCTTCTCACCCTTATTTTGTTCAAAACCGGAATGACTTACACTCTCAGGAAAAAAAAGGTACAAAAGTTGTCACTGGGGCGGTACCTTTCAAAAGGTACAAATATGTACCAATATATGTACCAGATACTAATATGTACCTTTAAAGTACCAATATGCACACTTTAGGGGTAAATAAGGTACAAAGGTGAACCTTTTGAAAATGTACCGCCCGAGTGACAGATTTTGTACTGTAACTTTTTTTCTGCCTTCTTCAGAACACAAACGAAGATATTTTGAAGAATGTTTCTGTCCATATGAAGTCAATGGGGTCCAAAACAACCCTTCATATCTCAAAATATCTTCTTTTGTGTTCCAAAGAAGAAAAAAAAGTCATACCGGTCTGGAACGACATGAAGTAAATGATGACAGAATTAAAATTTTTGGGTGGGTCCAAAACAACCCTTCATATCTCAAAATATCTTCTTTTGTGTTCCAAAGAAGAAAAAAAAGTCATACCGGTCTGGAACGACATGAAGTAAATGATGACAGAATTAAAATTTTTGGGTGAACTAAACTCTTTAATATTTTTTATCAACATTTCCTAGACACACACACAATACATCAAAACAACTGAAGATGTAGATTTAAATGTATTTGATAACATTATGTACAGTATGTCTTCATAAAAAAGTATATCTTACAAAGCATGAGTTGAAGCTGACCACACTGTCACAGCTGCCATTACTGTCAATCTCGCCCATTGTGTCGAGGCCATTGCCATCTTGCCACATGTCACTTATCGGCATTTGCAAATTATGGAAACCTCCACCCTGATATGAATTCAAAGTTCTTTAACAGTGTTGATGAAACTGCATTTCCCCTAAAAGTAGAATAAAAAATGCTAATGAAGTGTCTTGATATTTGCAAGCATTGGTAGTAATAATAGTGGAAATTGTAGATCAATTAAATACAATCTTATACCAAAAAAACCACATAAGAGCCAGCAATTATATTAGTATTTTTGTGAACGTTATAATGTTCAGATCATGTGAATGAGATTACAAGCAGGTGTTACACTGAGCTGGATCAAGTCCGGCATGATTGGAAGATAGTGAATCAGCTGTTTAAAGATAAACCAAGCTTTGTCCTCCAATTCAGAGTTTAATTGTTTAATATATTGTGCTTCAGAAGTGTTTCATTTATTCCAGCTTCCACTTACACCAAAGATCAGTAAGAACAATGCCAATTCACTTTGTTTTATTAGTTGTCACATAAAAGGCTCTCAGTTGTAAATTTGAATATGACGTGAATGATGATAACGCTTTTTTCTTTCTTTCAGTGATGGATTGTATTGTGTGATAATGCAAATGTAACAGCAAACAGGTTTTCTTTGTGGAGAGATGAATGGGCCAGTTGCAGTCGGATAGAAAATAAAACAATCATCAGTACAGTATGACATTTGTTTTCAAATTATCATTATATTTTAAAAGTTGAACTGTAATATCGAACAGTAATCAGTAAACCATAACAATGACTGTAAAAAACAATGTCCATTTCCACAGACATAATTAACCCACTGGCCTTTTTTATATATATAATCTATAACCTTAATAACATACTAATCAAATACTTGATTCTTTTTGTAATTGCAACACCGACTTTGAAATATCATAATGTCTTTTATGCTGTTCTAGAGAAATCATACCCATCTATAATCATAAAAACACTGAAATTACTTTATTATACATGTATGGCCTGTATTACACAAGAAAGCACACTTATCTATGTTATCTACTCTAAGGGTGTGTGAAACTATCTGTGTCAGACTACACTGGAAATTAATTCACAGTGTTTAACACCTGGGTAAGTAAGACTAATATAGTAAATAATATTGCTGAACAATCTAAAAAAAATGAGAGCGTGTATGTTAATTAAAATCTGATTTCAATTGATACATTTCAGCACATTATTTACAATAGCATAATTAATTTACTATTCATCTCTGCTTTAAATTCTAGAATTATCTGCCAGCCTTTTAATTGAAATCTTAAGAATACTCATATGCAGAAATAAACTAATGAAGCATGCCTTAATAAAAGTTTACCTTTAGTGCAGAAACGAGATGGCAGCCCAGCAGGTTCACGTGCTTCTTACAGTGTCAGTGCTGTGAGGTACAGTGAGGTGTCAGTACTGTACATAAAGAAATCTTCGACCAATCATTTTCGTTTCTTTCCTGCAGCAGCCAATCAGAGAACAGACCGGTGAGTGTAGAGCAAAAAAAAAAAATGACCCATACAATGTATTTTTGGCTATTGCTACAAATATACCCCAGCGACTTAAAGGGATAGTTCGCTCAAAAATGAAAATTCTGTCATCATCTTCTCACCCTTATTTTGTTCAAAACCGGAATGACTTACACTCTCAGGAAAAAAAAGGTACAAAAGTTGTCACTGGGGCGGTACCTTTCAAAAGGTACAAATATGTACCAATATATGTACCAGATACTAATATGTACCTTTAAAGTACCAATATGCACACTTTAGGGGTAAATAAGGTACAAAGGTGAACCTTTTGAAAATGTACCGCCCGAGTGACAGATTTTGTACTGTAACTTTTTTTCTGCCTTCTTCAGAACACAAACGAAGATATTTTGAAGAATGTTTCTGTCCATATGAAGTCAATGGGGTCCAAAACAACCCTTCATATCTCAAAATATCTTCTTTTGTGTTCCAAAGAAGAAAAAAAAGTCATACCGGTCTGGAACGACATGAAGTAAATGATGACAGAATTAAATTTTTGGGGAACTAAACTCTTTAATATTTTTTATCAACATTTCCTAGACACACACACAATACATCAAAACAACTGAAGATGTAGATTTAAATGTATTTGATAACATTATGTACAGTATGTCTTCATAAAAAAGTATATCTTACAAAGCATGAGTTGAAGCTGACCACACTGTCACAGCTGCCATTACTGTCAATCTCGCCCATTGTGTCGAGGCCATTGCCATCTTGCCACATGTCACTTATCGGCATTTGCAAATTATGGAAACCTCCACCCTGATATGAATTCAAAGTTCTTTAACAGTGTTGATGAAACTGCATTTCCCCTAAAAGTAGAATAAAAAATGCTAATGAAGTGTCTTGATATTTGCAAGCATTGGTAGTAATAATAGTGGAAATTGTAGATCAATTAAATACAATCTTATACCAAAAAAACCACATAAGAGCCAGCAATTATATTAGTATTTTTGTGAACGTTATAATGTTCAGATCATGTGAATGAGATTACAAGCAGGTGTTACACTGAGCTGGATCAAGTCCGGCATGATTGGAAGATAGTGAATCAGCTGTTTAAAGATAAACCAAGCTTTGTCCTCCAATTCAGAGTTTAATTGTTTAATATATTGTGCTTCAGAAGTGTTTCATTTATTCCAGCTTCCACTTACACCAAAGATCAGTAAGAACAATGCCAATTCACTTTGTTTTATTAGTTGTCACATAAAAGGCTCTCAGTTGTAAATTTGAATATGACGTGAATGATGATAACGCTTTTTTCTTTCTTTCAGTGATGGATTGTATTGTGTGATAATGCAAATGTAACAGCAAACAGGTTTTCTTTGTGGAGAGATGAATGGGCCAGTTGCAGTCGGATAGAAAATAAAACAATCATCAGTACAGTATGACATTTGTTTTCAAATTATCATTATATTTTAAAAGTTGAACTGTAATATCGAACAGTAATCAGTAAACCATAACAATGACTGTAAAAAACAATGTCCATTTCCACAGACATAATTAACCCACTGGCCTTTTTTATATATATAATCTATAACCTTAATAACATACTAATCAAATACTTGATTCTTTTTGTAATTGCAACACCGACTTTGAAATATCATAATGTCTTTTATGCTGTTCTAGAGAAATCATACCCATCTATAATCATAAAAACACTGAAATTACTTTATTATACATGTATGGCCTGTATTACACAAGAAAGCACACTTATCTATGTTATCTACTCTAAGGGTGTGTGAAACTATCTGTGTCAGACTACACTGGAAATTAATTCACAGTGTTTAACACCTGGGTAAGTAAGACTAATATAGTAAATAATATTGCTGAACAATCTAAAAAAAATGAGAGCGTGTATGTTAATTAAAATCTGATTTCAATTGATACATTTCAGCACATTATTTACAATAGCATAATTAATTTACTATTCATCTCTGCTTTAAATTCTAGAATTATCTGCCAGCCTTTTAATTGAAATCTTAAGAATACTCATATGCAGAAATAAACTAATGAAGCATGCCTTAATAAAAGTTTACCTTTAGTGCAGAAACGAGATGGCAGCCCAGCAGGTTCACGTGCTTCTTACAGTGTCAGTGCTGTGAGGTACAGTGAGGTGTCAGTACTGTACATAAAGAAATCTTCGACCAATCATTTTCGTTTCTTTCCTGCAGCAGCCAATCAGAGAACAGACCGGTGAGTGTAGAGCAAAAAAAAAAAAAACGAACGTTCGTATCAAAATAGTCGCTTAGTGACTGGAAAAGACATTATGAAAGATGCGTAAGTACACACTTAACTACACACAGTACTTCTGTGCACACGCCTGGAATGACAAACACACGATGACAGAAAGTGTCGAGAGAGAGGATCACCGGCAAATCCTGTTTAATCGCGTTATGAAGGGTTTCTTAAAATAACATTAGTTTAATCCCCGTCAACTGGAACTGATTTGATCTGTTTAACTGACTGAGATTCATTATGTTTTCACACCACATACAAGCGATCAGTTTTATCATCTATTTCTCAAAACTAACTAGTTTTTATGGTGCTACTAGTCGTAACTAGTAACTATTCGATCGGTTTTAACATTTATTTCTTAAACCTATCTAGTTTTTTATGGCACTATGCTCATGCTACTAGTAACTATTCATTAGTTCTTATTCCGATCTGATAGTATATATTAAATTACTCACCATTGTTTAGTCAACACCATTTAGAAACTAAGAAATACTATCTAGTAAATGAAATAAAGGATTAACTATAGATTATATATTAGTAATTCTAAAACAAGTACTGGTAACATAAAATAGATACTAGTTAAAGAAATAAATGCTGAAAGGCATATGCAAACAAGTCCGCATTGGGTTTCCTGTTTCAATAGCAATTGTGGAACAATTTGCTTGGGAAAGTTTAATACTGTCACTAACACTAACTAATAATTCAATCTTGGCAGTAGTTAGTTAACACTAGTAACTAACTACTAATAACATTTAGTTAAAAACTAATTAGTTAGACAAAATAAATAATAAATAAATCACACAAGGATATTTATGTATATATCAATTCAAGTTTATTTATCATTACCCAGTATAACCAGTGATTTTGTAGCAATGAGTGCTGTACATGCAGTTTCTCACTCAAAGTTACCTTAGTGTAGATAAAACACTGATCACGGCCATTTAGAAAAGTCACTGCAAAATAAAAATAAAAGTCCTTTGCACTTACAAATGGCACCATTTCTTCAAAATAAAAAGGCTGCAAACAAGTAAACAACAGTGTGGATATTACCTGACTGAAAAATACTGAGAATGTACATCATCATCAGGCCTTACAAGATGTTTTCTCTCTAAAGTTCATCCACACTCTAATAATATGATACTTTGCTACACTTAACCTCAGATATCGGCCCTGTATGCAGGAAAAAGTTCAGTATGACACATTTCATCACTTAAAATGTCAAATGAAAGTCACTACAATCACTCTTCCTAACAATATGTCATGGTCACTTGAGAGAGAATAAACACATTTTGCATAAAACAATCTTGTGTGGTCATTTGCAGAAATTACACAAGTGCCCTTCAAAGAAAAACAAAATCTAGATTCACAAAATAGTTCAGTGAGATTCTACTATCAGCACCATTGTGGTCCACTTCAACTTAAAATCCACGCTTTCTTGCTAACTAGCTTACTCAAAATGTGTAAAAACTGCATTGAGTAGAGTATTCAGAGTCGACATTAATCTATGTGACTATTTCAAGTAACAGGTACAATGGAGCCAGTGAACTTAAGACTTCATGTAGCGCCATCGATTGTTCAGAAACTGTGCGTATGACCTTAAAAAGACAGATCATATAATAAATACAGTAATGCCATGATTAAATTAGAGTTAATGAAAGGCATGTTTTTAGCTGTGCTCCACCGTTTTTTTTTTTTTCAATACTACTCTGGCCACATCCACAGAAGCACTTTATGTGTGAAAAGATGAACATTTATGACATATTTGTTTTAAAAATGAACAATTAGTATGCCTTATGCGATCACTCATTAAAACTTTCAATATTTGTTAGGTACTACCAAGGGTTAAGCTATAGCATTGCCAAACAGTTGTTACTCACACATCTTTGACCTGCAGGCAACAGAAAAGTGTTTACATGAGGTTATGGGGGAATCTCACGAAAACATGTCTAGGTCACATTTAACAGCGAAACTGAAAGAAAAAATGTTGTTATATTTAGCATAAACAAAAGGATTTTAAGAGCATGAAGATTTTTTAAATTTATATTAATGACATTTTCACTCTAAATTATTAAAAGTAATACAGTAACTACTTTTACGGTTAAAATTACTATAATTAAATTAATAAGCATACATCCTGAGCAGCCTACCATCAATACTGCAATGTATAAATACTTCATAATTTATAATATCATAATATATTACTAATATTAAATTAGAATTTTGGGGAAAAATGTGCCTAATTGTCATGAAAAATATCACAATGCAAAAAAAAGGCATCCTCTCTCTCTCTCTCTCTATATATATATTATAAATTAATATCTATAATATATAATATTAATTATATTTGAATTGTGATTTTACACACAATTGTTTTTATTTTCTTCTTTACTTTTGCAGTAAAATACGACCTGGATGTGTTTTGCGAAATTCACCCTAATACTAGTATTGTAATCATTATAACAAACAGGTAGTCAGTGGAGAATCCCTTTAAAATTTGGTTTGAAGATACGGCTTTGTTGTCATTTCTGGCTAACAGACTAAAAACACAAGCATATTTAATACTTCAACCTCAAGAGTAAAGCAAAGTTAAAAGAATACTGAATAATTGGGGAACTCGACAAGAGAAAGTCTTCTGAAGCCGCTAAACAATGTGAGGTAGAGGGCTGTACCAAGCTGGAACAGGCAGCAGTGAAAGAGCGGGTACCATGTCAGGTGGCGTGGCAGTGACGCGGCAAAGGTGGGGGGGTGATTTCAAAAACAGAGCGAAGAGCATCACACCTCCCCAAAGTTGGTGTGGCCGGTCTCCTTGGCATGCTCCCTTGCTTCCTTCTGCCCCACCAGGCCAGTTTGGCACACCATGCAGCGCAGAGTGAAGCGGTTGACATCCGTGTACTGACGCTTCCTCCGGGCCTCATCCGCGAGCTCCAACGCTTGGGCCAAAATTACATCATCGGTAGTGGAGAAAACAGTCTGTGCGGGAACATCTGAATTTGGCACCACCTTCTGGATCGGGTCATAATGAATACCATCATAAATAAGCAGCACTCGTTTGGTGTAACCCGCATCCTCGCCGAAGCGGTCGACGCGCACAGTCTGAGTGTCAACGACGCAAATCTCAGACTGGTAGAACTTAGAGAGGATTGAAACCTCAATGGCGCCTCCCCACGTGTCATCGCGACGGATCCAGGTGCAATAGTCCTCATTAGTCTTGCCCAATACTGCCTCTGAGTATGCGGTGGGGTCACTAGCTACAATTTGTGCAATGAGCCCGCGCATTTCAGGCGCACAGGCTGGGTCGTAAACACCTCCTTCCATAACGTAGTTCACACTTGTAAACAGACAAGAGTTGTCGGCAGGGACGACGTGGCGCTCTAGAACTGGGGACAGGTCAAGACTGGGCCCTTTGGTCACAGCGGTTTGTGTTTGGGGTTTGTTCTTCTCCTCCTCTACAATCAGCGTGTCTCCTGGAACAGTAAACGTATCAATGACCGACACAGGAAACTCAGCAACAACAAAAGTGCACGAATGGCTTTATAAACACAGAATTAAAGGAATAGTTCACCCAAAAATGAACATTTGCTGAAAAGACGTTTCAACGTTTTAACTTCAACCCATTGTTTCTGGCTAAAATACTAGTCCTCTATCCATAATATTGCTTTAAGTGGTGTGGACTACTTTGGATTATTATATAGATATTTTTATCAGCTGTTTTGACTCTCATTCTGACGGCACCCATTCAGTGCAGAGGATCCACTGGTGAGCAAGTGATGGAATGCTAAATTCTCCAAATCTGTTCCAATGAGGAAACGTACTCATCTACATGTTGGATGGCTTAAGAATGAGTACATTTTCATTCTTGGGTGAACTATTCCTGTAACACATTGCAAATAAAGTGTAGTGATTCTGATCAAACCTGATTTTATAGGGTAGTCTTTTAGGTGGGCTTCACCACTGCGTAGATCCAGGCTGGATGGTGGATAACCTACCATGATCTTCTGTACATCACATGGTATTCCTGTTAGCTCCTCAATCTTATCTTTAAGCTCCTGAACACAAGATTGGTGTGTAAGGCCCTGCATCAGATGGGTCCCGTTCTTGGCTTTACAACGCAGACGTAGCATCCTGTACCTGTTCAGTTCTGAACACAGAACAGTTGCATAAACCAAATTTGTATTAAGTTAGAAGCAGTCACATTTGGGCTTTAAAATAAGGCCATATGCACCAATAAAATGATCAGTAGTGTGAAAATATAGATAAATCGTCAGTAAAAAGCAATGGCAATTTCTTTTGAATGCCAGTTGAAAAATGTGCATGTATTTATACAGTATACGAATACGTAATAAATACATAAAGAAACAAAATAGTAATATGATCGAGTAATTACAAATATATTCCAATATCACTACAGGTAATGGATTATACTGAGCACTTGAGCAAAAACAAAAGTCTACAGCTAAACAAAAGAATAAACACAATATATAAATATATAATAAAAAATGTAAAACTTTGTCATTTTATTTTTTTCTCACCTAAGCAATATAAAAGACAATGTTGACAATAATCTAAGCTAGGCTAAGTTAGCCAGGCTAAAGATAACGTTACAAAAACTCAGCTGATATATAATAAAATAACTTAAAATTCTACAGTTCTTTCACTATAAAAACATCCTCTAAAGATGAATGGTAATATGGTCTTATTTAATAAAAATCACGGGTAGTTTGCAGTTGGCCCGATGCTAAATCACTCACCACCGAGCGCCTTTAAAACAACAACAATTGACACGCTGACCGAGCAGAAACATGCGTATTATTTTTTTCTCACCTAAGCAATATAAAAGACAATGTTGACAATAATCTAAGCTAGGCTAAGTTAGCCAGGCTAAAGATAACGTTACAAAAACTCAGCTGATATATAATAAAATAACTTAAAATTCTACAGTTCTTTCACTATAAAAACATCCTCTAAAGATGAATGGTAATATGGTCTTATTTAATAAAAATCACGGGTAGTTTGCAGTTGGCCCGATGCTAAATCACTCACCACTGAGCGCCTTTAAAACAACAACAATTGACACGCTAACCGAGCAGAAACATGCGTATTACGTCACACACTCTGTGTACTACGTCCTGTAAACGACAAAAAATGCGTACGTCAAATTTAATTATACTATAAATTAATTGTTAACTTAAAAATCGAGCAATATCAGCCTTGATATATTAATAAAAACTTAACATGAAATATTTGTACTCTTAAAAATTCAAATGTAACCCCGCAGAGACATTTAAAATGAACTAGCGACAGCACACGCTGATGTAAAATGGTGAAAAAACGTGTATAATTATTGGACGATCACATATAATTGGTTTTATATATATGCATATATATAATTTGTTTTACTGTCGTTTGTTATGTAACGTTCTGGGCAATAAAAAACATTTTGTCTGTAATGTGTCTCCCGGCCACAAGCGGCGTTACAAATTATCAACACGTCATTTTACGTGCGTCATTCTGTTTCCGGAATTGCGCCGCCATTGAAACACCAGCAACCAACGTGAGATTTTCGTTGCCGCGCCATTAACTATTTTGTTCAATTTTACATAGATCATCACCTTTTTCTAAAAATATCTGAATATTATTTGGGAGAATGGCGTACAGAGGACAAGGACAGAAGGTTCAGAAGGTCATGGTGCAGCCTATCGTATCCTTCAGAACACAGAACTAAATCGGTTCCTTCCATTGTATTGATATGCTTTGGTTTCGTAAGATACATAATGCTATATTTTATTACATATTGTATTAGAAATTAAAGTTTTTTTTAATATGATTATATCAAACTTAAAAAAATGCAATATCTTTGCATCAATGTTTGGGATGTTTGTATCAGGTTTGTGTTGGTCCCGCTGCTAATCGTTTACGTTACTTATAAATAAATGAATGAAAAAAATGCTATTTAAAATGATTCATGAGTCATATTTTGATGACAGTATAATGTTATTGTTATATTTGTTTGTTTCCTTAATTTTACTTTCAGAACCTTATTTTCAGGTATCTACAGAATGTAAGTTCATAATAATTTTATTTAACATTTAAGTATATTTAACATGCATATATATATATATATATATATATATATTAGTTAATTATGTATT